ACCCCACGTCAAAACCTAGGATGCCAAGAAGAGCGGAGGAACAGCCTTTGAGGTTCTTTCATCTTTCCTCCCTCTTTTAATTCACTCCAGGGTCCAAGATCTCAATGATGCTATCTGGCGTGGTTTCCTTCTCTTAAGGGTGATCATCAGTATTGTGACATCTTCCACCATCACAGAAGCTCAAGTGTGACACTTGGAAATCCTGATAACGGATTAGATGAGGTTTCGCAGTACTTGTTTCCCCGAGGAGCCTCTTAAGCTAAAACATCATTATTTGATCCACTGCCCACTCCTGATAACTCTCTTTGGATCATCGTCATAACTTTCCACATTGAGATTCGAAAGTAAGCATTCATTCTGGAAGCGAAGTCTTAAACGTCTTTTAAAATGCAACGTGACGAAGGCGCTGACAGAACTGTTTCTCAAAGGCAAGAAAATAGTTTGGTTGCTCAAAATAGACGAACTCCTGTGAAAAAGGTTCTTTTTCGAATGATATCGGTAGCATTTTCACGATGTCGCGCGAGACGAAGTTGAGTAAGTGCTTATACATTTTTTACTCGTTTGAGTTCATGGAGCCTTGCGAAAGCAGTCTGCTTTTGCAAGGATCCATAGGATATCTTGATTCTATGTTGGTACGCGGGCCTTCTTGGAGTCAGTTGCTCCTGCTGGAATCACTAGAGAACATCAATGATTTGTACCCACTACGTTTTCATTTGTGAATATGAGGAGAAATAAACGTTTCCTGAACAGCTGCCCCATGATACATCTCAGGTAAACCTGGGGATAAATTTTAATGAACTGAAAAATTTAAGCTACTGCAAAGTATGGCAATTAATTCCTCGGTTTTGCAGCAGATGACCATGGGTCAATACAAACTTATAACTTCAACTTTAATAACACTTGAATTGTGAAGCATGGGAAGAGCTAATTTTAGTCCAACCTTCATCACACAGTGGAAACTGAAATCCAATTGGAAGGAAAAATAAAGGATGACTTCCATCCGAATAATTGGATTTCCTCATTTCCTCCTTGAACTGATTGACATCAATATTCGTGAGTTGGGGGAGGACATGCAATAGCAAAAGATCTGTTTTTCATTTACGAAAGGGACAACTAAAGTGAGCCCTTCATGTGATTGCGTCTGAAGCGTTGCCTGATGAGGACTCAGCCAAGCTCGTCCTACTCGTGGACCATTTGGTCGAAAATGAAGGGTGCAAGGTCACATCACCTATAACACGTGGAGTTGCCCACATTGCAGGAATTTCTATTGAAAATTTCAACTGATCATATTTGAGGAATTTCAGAAAGATCGAACGGGTAAGTTCTGAGGTTCTGATTTTTCATAATAACTTAACGGCATGCAGTATATACTCTTAGTACTTGACTACCTGACAGATGGGAGGATGGACGGGAAAGTGGAATCATTCTCACCAGCGCCTCGACAGGCAATATCTGAGATGGAACATGAATTGAATAGGATTCGGGTGAGACTTCAGAGATGTCCTTTCCTCGACGCAAACCAAGAAAGAATGAGGTCACTGATGCTGCTTTGGAGATATGCAAGGTATTTCCAGAAGAGCTCAGCGATCATTCAGGGGAGCGGACATAGAATATTCTGGTGATGATAATTCTAGACCACATCACATACAACATGAGGAATATATTTTTTTTCTTCAAGCAAATAACCAGTATATGCACAAAGGGTATCTTCTCTCAACCTCATCAAGAAAGGAAGGAAAGCATATAAAATTCACATTGAACCTATGCTCTAACTTTTTATTTCCACTGCAACTAATTTCCATGAAGAAAATATGTTATTTCACTTTCAGTGATATCATGAGGTCCCTTTCTGGAATGAGCTGCATACACATTCCATGAAATCCTTGCAAGTGAGAGCATCGATTGATTATTGTTGTATGTTTTCAACTTTTACAGGGGTTATGCATGTTTTTTTTTAAATTCATATTTGGACTCCAACCCACAATCTACTCTTAAACATTAACCTCCTCAGACCCACAATTGATGGCTACTACCTTTCATTCGCTCAAAGTTTCATTCCTTTTCGCTGCAGAACCCACCCGATTGATGTTACATATGTGTTCTTAGACCGGAATTTCCTTTTCTCTCCAGGCCAGGCGACACACTTCTGGGGAAAATCAAGGAGAAGTACAAAGAACGAGCCAATCAGGGAAAAGCTGCAGTTCGAATGCAAAGAGATCAATATGGACGCATCAAAGGGCAACCCTTTGCTCCAAAATCTGGAGAGACAAGGGAAACTCTCTACAAAAACGTCGCATCAGGACACGATCCTTGCAGGAAATGATCGAAGAAGGAAAAGGTTCCTGCTTGGAGACCCTACTTCTAACGAAGGCAGCTTTCGTTTTGCAAAGAAGGGATATCAACAATGGTATGCATGTGAGTCAAGTAATAAGGAAGTGGCCTGCCCTTTCCACGGTCCCTCAGCTTTTTTGAGGAGCACTACGGCATCCTAATAGGGGAAGGAATGTCCCAAAATCTCGAGAAAGGCATTACAGAGAAGGGTGAGAAAGTGTACTTGTACTTCCGGAATACCTCGAAGAAAGGTTTTCTCTCTTTCCTCGCTGAAGTAGATGAGGCCACCATGAGGACTGGGCCAAGAACTTAGTACTTATGCGTCTATACTTCTCCACTTAAAGAATCTGAAGGAATATGTATCAGCTTCTTTCTCTATTTGCCCAGTGAGACTCATCCAACAAAATAGTCCCTCGTCCCTAAGAGACTTCCTTGGATATTGTACGTATGTCCATCTCTGATAGAAAACGGCTAATGATCGAGAAATGCAGCCACTGCCGGACTAACCACATAGAGTTGTACGAGGTTCGTGTATTCAGAATTCTTGTAAAAGAAAAATTAACTTTAAATAGTCGTGAACTCTTCCGTACGGGCTCATTTTCTAAAACTCATTTTACAATAATCTATTAGTCTCTCTTCCATTTCTGTGATAGGACTCTCAGTTTTGAGGGGAAGATGCACGTTAATCCTTGGAGGAGTACCCTTCTTCTGAGGTACTTTAAAATACTCTCTGAACTCTCTGAGCACTTGCTCGTGGGATATTACATGTTTAACTTCGAGTACCCTTCGGTTGCAGAATGCACCCTTGCATTTATTCAGAGGTGAGAGTTTCAGGGAACGTGATGCTTTTCTATTCTTAAGAGATTCGTCGAATCTCTTGCTAAATACGTACGACTGGAGTGCTTTTTGATCGAATTCCGAGCCTCCGCTGGTGTTGATAATAATTGCAACAGTCACTGAATATATGACATTTCTGAGGAAATGAGCACCAATAAAGGTTTGCGAATATTTCGTGTGCACGATATTATTGCTCCTCATCTACCATGCGGAAATCCTTTTAATTTCGCAGAAACTGTTCAATGGACCAGGAAGAAATTCATGAGAAATCGAAACAATGGCTAGAGCCATTGTTTCGATTTCTCAAGAAGAAAAATTCGATTCCGGTGATAAATATGAGAAGAGAAGTAAGTAGAGAACAATATATCAAGATACAAGATAAGCGGCATATAATTTTCCGAGTCTTATCACATAGATATCGCATTTTTCTCAAATAATCGAAAAATTCCATTCTTGAACGCAACAACAGATTCCGGAAATGGAGAAAAAAATTCGAAAATCAGAGAAATGCTGCTTTTCGTCTTTTTTTTCTCACAGAACGATTCTGAGGTTTTCACCACCTTTTCCGAGCATTAAACGAAATTCCAATTACCTTATTCCAATTACTTAAACGGAATGACCTTTTATAATGTAGACGGTGGGAAGGAGTGGCTGCTCCTGGTCGCTTAGACAAGGTTGCTGGTTACGCGTGAGATACCGCATCTGCAGGGCCGGCCCTAGCTACTTCGGCGCCCTGTGCAAAGAGATTCCAAACGCCCCCACCCCCTCCTCCCCTCCCCCGAAAGAAGAAGGTTCAATGCCAAGCCTTCAAAACGACGTCGAGACGGAAGGCATTAATATATTCTGGAGTAAAACCGAGGGTGACATTCACTATTGCTTTATACGTTCATTCACGTTTTCGACGCCCCTGGAGAATTTGTGCCCTGTGCGGGCGCACATGTGGCACATGACTGAGACGGGCCTTGCGCATTTGGAATCTTAAACTTGATGCTGTCTTCCTGTCTCCATGCGACCAGGACGCGCGGGTTATCGATAACATGTATCCGGGCCTTTCATATAGGCTTATGGTGTAAGAATGACGGCTATTACTTTTTCGAGGTTGGGAGGTCAGGAGGTGACCGAGATGAAAATTCCAGAGGCGATGGGGTCGGTGGAATGACTGATCCGTAAATGGCTGGTGCTTTCGTCTTCATTCTACGTTCATTTTCGTACGCTTCCCGTTCCGTCTGGGCGATGTCTCCTTCCGTAGCACAGGGCGACGTGACTATAGGAAGCTTTCGATAAGCGTGATCCGGATGAGGCTGACCGACTGCATCCGCCTCACGTCAGCGATCGGAGCAAAGGACGAACAGCGAGAGAAAGCGAGGATTCCTGCCATGCTCTTTCGCTTCACAAAGGGCAACATTTAGAAACTTGTGAGTAAGCTTTGAATCTCCCGGTATATGAATTCCATGGAAATGCTTGCAAATGGCACAGGTAAGAGAGAGATTTGACTTACTCGATCGCAGTCGATTGATTTCCACCGGCAATCGACAGCAGCATTATTACCCTCCAGAGAAAGGTTAATACCTGTAGATGAAGACTGACCCTTCGCAATGGTTGAGCGAAGAATAATCGAAAATATATAAGTTATACGATCGGAAAGGATCTAAATCCTGCATTTTATTGCCTAATTTGGGTGATGCGCTGCACCAAACTTTGGTGCGATCGGAGCGCACGTACGCGCGCACGCCGCGCAGCGGTCTCCATCGAGGGTTTCCATGTCTCCTGCGCGTGTGCGAGTGCGCCGGCTCGGCTCGTGAGGGGGAGCCAGTCGGATCTCAGAGGCGAACCCTATAGCGTGGAAGTGCTGGGTCCTTCAAGTGGATTGTTATCGCGTGCGTCGCGATTACGACGCGGAAGGATTCCATCAGCGTGAGCGAGCCTTCTCCAAGGTGGGTGTGTGGCGGTGTGGGCGAGGCGTGACCTCTTCGTTCGCCTCGTCTCGCGGAAAAGCATAATGATGCGTGTTAACTGATTGCGAACGAGCGTGAGTGCCGGTCGATTTTTGCACGCGGCTCTGAACGCGAGGTGAACGCGAGAGTCGTCGATGGGCTTATCGTGACTCGTGCACGATTCGGAAGGGGAAGGGCAGAGCCAGGAACGAATGGGAATCTCGAGTCGCTGAGAACATGAGAGGGCCACTTCAAAAGTTATCTACAGAAGTACAAAAGTGGAGAGATAAGGGCTGTTCGCTCGTTTGTCTGAATTCGTTGGATGAGCCTTGGGATCCCATTCCTCATCCCAATTCAAAATCCCATTCCAAAGGATTCCCAAATCCTTTCCTTCGTTCCTCAAAAAAGTTTCCAAATTACGATTACCTTTCAGCTGCGAAGACTTCCAACCACACTCTTGTTTTTTTTTTTAAACCCATACGATCAAGAATACATTTTCGTGGAACAATCTTTTCGAGCTACTTCTGGCTTCGTTGATTTTTAACATTTTAAATTACACATACCAAGTATTAAGCCACTGTGTGAGTGCTTTTTAGAATGAGTGCTTTTTAGAATGAGTGCTTTTTAGAATGAGTGCTTTTTAGACTCCAAAAAAGAGCGGAATGGGATAACTAAAATCACTGTGTGTGTCAGCGCGAGATCACGTTTCTAGAGAATTCGACGTCAGAAGCTACTGGGACGGATTGGAAAGACTCCCGAAGCCTGCGTTTTTATCGGTCAAATAATGCGTGAAGTACTACAAGTACTCACGAGCTTATCATGCTTTCCCGGGATTCAGACATCTTTTCTCACTCGATGGCTTAGGTTTAAATCCGAATTCTTGAAATCAGTGAGAATTGTTTGATTTTGACTAGAGGGAAGAACTGCAATGGGCGAGTCCTTACAGTGAAAGACCACAGAGAATGAGGACAGGAAATTCACGGCGTGTTGCCCTCGATAATGAATAGGCGATTCTGACAAATCTCAGCGAATTTTGTCTTTTTTAATTCGAGTTTAAACTTGTTTTTTTTTTGGTTCAATGTCAAATTAACGAGCGTGTCGGAATCCAAGAGACAGCTTCTCTTGTGCCATCGTTGACGTACAAGTGCCGGCGCGGATTGCAATCTGGTTTAACACATTGACGCTCGCTCATTCGGCTTCGCGCGGGGAGAAAAAGCTTAAATCTGATTTTGAGCAATCGATTTCGCTGAAATACTCGTGAAACCACCTACTCATTGGGCGTGTCACTGCGAATTTCCTTTCCTATCCATATGCACGAGAGTCTTATCAGTGTGCCATTCCGAGAAACTCCTCCAAGACAAATAAAGGAATTCTCACGAATCAAGAATCTATCGAAAGCTTATCCCCTGGAGACGTTTCCCAATTTAACTATTTCCATTAGACTCATTTCAAACCGTGCTTCCACGAGCTTCGCGTTTGTCTTCTATAACGTTCCATCTAAGGGGTATCCAAGTGAAGAACATTTAGGGTCGAGGCTCCTCACTTATTCCTCAATAAAGAAAAGAAAGGGTCTTCTCAGTCTACCTCGCCCCACGACGAGGCGAAGAGCGAGCGACTCATCCGGCCGGCCCTGTCGAAGGAGAGGAAGCCTCGCACCCCGCTGTTTATCGCTCCCTTGACTGTTTATCTTAGCTGTTTATCTGAGAGATGTAGAACACGCGAGGCGTGTTCTACATCTCTCAGATGGGGATCTGACGCCGTCACTAGACGAGGTCTGATCGTTGAAGCTCCCGGACTGAATTCATGTTACGGCAATAAAACGTACTATAGGGATAATTAACAACAGATATTGTTCACAACACTTACTGACTTCACCCCTACAGCGGAAAGTCGCTACTTATCATTGGAGAGTAAAATACTGTTTAGTGCGGACGTGTTTATTGTGATCGTCGTGTTGTGGAATGGCTGACGCTATAGAGCAATGTGCCTGCATCAAGTTCTGTATTAAAGTTGCAAAAACGTTCCAGAAGGACGGACAGTCAATCACTTGTTTAATTTAAACGTTCTGAATCGCCAAAGAGATGGAGTCCGACGGAAACGGCCTGAAAAACGGAAGTCGAGGATCTTCCTCACTCGGCACTCCCCATAAGGGAATCCTTGGTACAGCAGAACGTACCACTGGGTCCTCACGAGCCCTATTCACTGGATTTAGTTTAGTTGAGTTGCTAATGCGGATCCGACCACCTAAGGGTTCCATCCAGCCACCAACTTGATCAAGTTGGAAGCTCCTGGCCTAGACCAAGCGTGTACCATTGTCTGGAATTCACGAGTTCAGTCAGCAGACCAATCCCCATGCTTTATGCAGCCGCCGCTAAGATATTGTACGTCCCCCGCCCCCAACCTAAGGCGGTGCTCACTCCTACGATGCGGTCATTCCCGCAGGGACGTGTAAAACGTCCCTGCGTATAACCCCTAAAGTCCCCTTTCATCCCGCTGGAAGGATAACTTCCTCGTCGGGATGAGATCTGCTTCCTTGTGTATATCGGGATCCCGACCCCTGGGGAACCCCGTTCAATCGGAACCCCGTTCTCGTATGGATCGGTACTTTTTTCCCGTATCGATCGCGACCCAGTGCATATCGTCAATAAAATCCATATCCACCACTTTTCATGTAAGTCTGTAAGTGAAAAACACCGATAGAAAAACGTAATTGTTACAACGGCCGACGGCATATTCCTGATCCAAGGGTAAGCGATCCTCTTCTATCCCTTCCAAATGGGATCCCATCGCTTTCATCCTTGGAAGTCACATTCCTCGTGAGTGCCGATCAAGACGAAGACGGGGTTCTAATCGGTGAAGGCATCGGGATCCCGATAAATAAAGGGGATAAATTATTTCTTCATAAATAAGTCATCCTTCCTCCGGCGGGATGAAAAGGCACTCCGAGTGTTATACGCGGGGACGTTTCACATGTCTCCGCGAGAAAGTTTGCATCGAAGTGTGAAGAAGGGGTGTGGGAAGTACGCAAGACGAACGCTTTTGTTCAATTTCTTCTGTTCTTGCTCACTTTCATGCAAGATGTTACCGCTTTACTTCAGCAAGAAGTGGATTTGAATCTCAATTTTACGAAACCAACCTGATTCTGAGCCAATATGCCCTAGTCAAAATTTTTTCGTTGGGCCATCGATGGCTTTTCGCCAACCCGCATATAAGCCGTAGTTGGGCCTATATGGTTGGCTCATGGTTGGTTGAAGCTGGCTTATAGTCAGGCTTGTCCTGTTGGCCCTTCATTGGGCCAACTTTGGCACATTGTTGGGAAACCGCACATACCCCAACCATCGGCCGACTTTGCAATGGTGAAAAGGTATAGGAAGAAACCGGACAAAATAATTGCACCTACAGTTTCATGCATCTTGAAGTGATGAGATTATATCTTTTAACCTCTTAATGTTCCGTCATCAGACTACCTTACACAATTACACTCCTACTGCTAAGAATATGCCAAGCAACACCTCTTCTGGATGCTGAGACTTCCAGGAACGGAATCACTTGGGAATGCAAGGGTGTCTGCCCTCCACACAGAAGGTTAGACACACATTACATGTTATTGAACAAGGAAGATAACACCTGTAAACGAAGACAATACACTGTCATGGCCTATTGTGGAAAGGAGAAGGATACTTCCACGGACTTCCGGGCCAGAAGTTCTTGGATTATTCCAGAGCAAGGCTACATCTTCAGAAAAAATTTAAAAGGAATTCGATTGTCTTCCTCTGAGATCTATGTGGGAAACCATAGGGTATCGTGTCAAAGGGACAGGGCAACATCTCAGTAGTATCCGGGAAGTGACTCCTCACTACGACCACTATGGCTCAATCTCACGCCGGTTTTCGGAACCTTCTCGGCCACATTGGCCTACCTACGGCGAATGATTGGTCAGCCAGCTCAAGAGTGACTCACAAGCGTGAGTTGGTCTGCCAATCATTCGGCGAAAATATGTCAACTCCCCCAGCAATGGCCCGAAGAGAAAACAACGATAATTGTTGACTGGGACTGGAACTTCTCTTTTCTACTGGAACTTCTTTCATGGATGTGACGAAAAGAGCCCATCCCCCCCCCCTTCAAGGAAGTCAGAGAATCTTCTTTCCCGACTCGTCTTCTAATTTTGAGATTTATTTTTCCTCGCCGCTCGTATGCCAAGTTGCGTCCCATGTTGTAATTAGCTGAAAGGATGAAATTTATTGTTGGCTCCTATGAACTCAAAGACCAGGGCTTCTGGATGGAGTACGGATTTTGTGGTCCATGCCGAAAGCCAATACTCAGCTATCTTATCTTCTCTGAAAAGAATAGGCAGAAAACCCCTACTCCTGTTAAGCTTTGCAAAAATTCAAATTTCTTCTGGATTCGTTGAGTATGGTTCACGTTTCAGTGGGCCTCAAGAAAAAAGGGTTAATCAGCGTAATAATTCAAAATGACATGGAATAAATTTGAAGTTCAGCGAATGCGAATAATTTGTCGCAAACTTGAGAGTTTGTGACTAAATTTCTCTTGTGAGAAATTTGCTTCTTTGGGATTCTGAACTCTCTGGGAAACCAGGTATTTCTTCAGGAAGAGGATGCTTATGTACCAAAACAAATTCTGAATAAATATTTATTGTTTTAAGAGAGTACTTTTGGTGCTTATCGTGGCATTTATTAATGATTTATTTCTTATTATTATTTCACTTATTTCTTTTCTTTAGGGGGACGCAAGTGAGACGCTTGGAAATTCCCTTTCTATCACTCACCTTCACTTTTTGAGATGTCAGATGAATCTCAAGCGGGCCGAAGTGCTGGAGAGGTGAGTCATTTGAGTTACGGTTTTTTGCTGAATAATTGTTGCCAATGCGAATAACCAGGGTCCGGAGTGACCGAACCTAAAATTTCAATATAGAATTACTTTTTTTTTACTTTGGGGAAGATGTTGACTATTTCCTCTTAAATTTAACTGCAAGTCTAAAACGGTAAATAATTCCTGTTTCTGTCGTACAGGTCTTTCAAAAAGTTCAAAACTAATTACCTGATGAGGGAGTTCTTTTATATTTCTCTGAAAAGCAAAGGTGTATGCTTGTAGTTTGATGCCGAAACAACCGTTTCCCCCTGAGGTGAGCAAAGGAATGGCTCGTTGGTAATACCAATTGCAGCGCATATTTTGCGCTCAAATGAAGTGCATGTAAATTTTGACTTTGTGCAAGGGCCAACCTTCAAAGGACTTTGCCCGAAGGGCAAACAACTTGCTAGTATGAGATAAAACTACTGTAGAGCCTTCTTTGCATCAAAAAATTTTCCTTAGCAACTTTTCTATGCAAATCGACTTTGGAAGAAAATTTACACGGTGAGGATGTCCATGAAAGTATACTTTGTAATATACTTATTGCCATCAAAGCATGACCGTGAAGTATTTTAACGACCTCGATGACATTTGGTAGACATGCTCGCACACCAGCATACAAAACAATCTTATTTAAACTGCGGCTACGGGCCCGAACGATCACTTTTCCGTTTTGCATTCAACACCGAACCCGATGATTCATCAGTAAAACTTGTAGACTTTGATGGGATACTGACGTCTGGAAATAGTTAATTAAATCGCTCACGGCATTTCTTAAACTGCTTCATAATAATGTAAAATTCTCCACAATGCTCACTCTTTCCTGTGCATTATACGGAATTTTGCTCCGCCTCACACCGTGCGCTGAACCCTCAGCGATAATATGCTGGTCATACCGTCTTAACATCCATAAGCTGTTCGAAACCACAGCTGAAATGACGGTCTTGTTTTCATTGAGGCTACATTATTTAATTTCTTTCATTTCATTGAGCCTGTAGAATAAGTGAAACGCCACACCATCAACCTCTCAGGTGCTTCCCATAACCCCGGCGGGAGCACGTTGTCGGCGAGAGTCACCTCTTTCATTTTGATGCTGTTGTATCTTTCCTCTTTGTCGTACTAAATGCTTTCCTGCTCAGAATCCAAGAAGTAGGAATATCAGTGTTTCATATTCTAATATGAAATAGCAGCTATAAAAATATCGAAGACTATTGTAATAAAGTGGCAATCAGTTTCCTCTAATCATTTTTAAGAGCAAAGTGATAACAGAGGATGGAGAGACGTGATGTCACCGTCTGTCACATAATGTCCGGCAATTGAACAATTGTCGTCTTGTTGGCACTCAGATATAGAATGAACTTTTCATTTGCTTCTTTAGGTGTGTGGAGGTTCATGCGTGAACTGTACCTTCTCATCCCAGGCGAGACTGGAAAGCTATGAAAGAATAGGAGAGTTGGACATTCGAAAACACCTTAAAATATACTTCGGGGCAGATGATAAAAGATCCCTGATCGACGCTACCAAAGAATATGTGAAGTTGCACTACCCCTATGCCTACACTAAGGCCTTTTCCTTACCCGAGGAATATATCTTGAATAAGCGATCATTCAACAAGCTGCACCAAACAGCGAGGAAGGGTAAAGAAGATGTAGACATGCCTTCAGATGAGCGCTCAGTTGCCATGGTTTTCGATGAAGTCAAGAAAGCATTCAAGGACGTGCCATCCCTCACAGTTTGCGACTATGCCTTCACAGACACATTTCTCAAGGGAATCAATCAACAACAGAAGAAGAAGTTCAGTAAGGATTTTGGTGTGAACGAGAATGATCTGAAATCTGGGGACCATGATGTCTTTGGAGTTGGAATGTCTCAGAATGTCATCCTTGGAATTTTCTTTCAAATTAAAGGATCAGCGAGGACGACAAATCCGAAAACCATATTTGACGCATTTTCGAAAGCAACAAAGCAAGTCGAGAAGGATATGAAGATTTTCCGGATTATGTGCGGTCGATTACTGAATCCAAACGTGAAGTTGGCAGGTTTTGCAGCCTTTCCATTGCTTTCGAAGTTACAACTGCAGAAAATCATCCAGTGTGACGATTGCATGACTCGAATCCTTGTTTCGGATGATCTGAAGAGTTTCAGTATGTTCTTGAAGAGGCACAATATCGTGCCCTCCTGGAACCGGGATCCCAAATCACCTGTTATGAAGACTTTCCAGGACATCTTCGACCTCTATGTTTCTGCAGCATCATTTGTGGACCTCCCCCGCAACCCCTTTCAGCTTTTCTCTGAGAATGAAGCACAAATGAAGAAGTTGCTGGTGATTCTATCTCCCAAGCAAAGGGAACTTGTAAACTCTACGGAAAAAGTAATTCTCATATGCGGAGGTCCAGGCACCGGAAAGACTCTAGTGGTGAAGAAAAGAGCTGAAAAGTTGGCAGAAAATAGTGCTGTGCTGCTGATAAATATGGCTGGAGGATTCTTGACAGAAGAATTCCGATGTGACTTCGAAGGTGAGGGAAAATATCCCAGCTTGAGGCAAATTTCTCGATGAAGCAGTAGTTGGATCGTTGATAGGCTTTCCCTTCAATTCGGCAATTGCCTGCAAACCCTATTTAATCACCGCTTTCCCGTGTTACTTAGGACATTATTCAATTCCAGAACGATTCCCATTCCACCTATCCATATCCGTGTTTCTTTAAACTGTAAACGATGAGACTTCGAAACTAACAACAGACAAATTCATAAATGTATTTGCGATGTTAAGCCGAAATCTGTAATCAATCCAATACCAGCTTCATTATTTGTATTTTTTTCGTTTGTCCGGAAAGTAATGAGAATCGTTTGTGAATTTGAACTCTACAAGCAGTGCACTTCGCACTGGTCAGGCATTTAGATCAATATGTAATCACTGTGATTGCCGATTTTCAAGTCAATCCGTTGAGAAGTGCTTACAGAGTAAATCTCAAAAGACAGCTCTATAAGCTCAGTGTGACGCGGGCTGTTTTCAACAATTTGGATATGGCTACAAGCGCTGAGAACTTTCGCTTCAATGCGTTCACGTGGTTCAAACTTGGCATTGCGGCCGCTGCCTGTTACAGGGAACTGGTCCCTGTGTATGTCAAGTCTAGTATTTCGGTGGTTCGACAACTTCAGAGAAGCAGCTGGAAAGAAGTAGGAGCCTTCTTTTCTCGATCAGTCCCACAGTAGCCGTCCAAGGTCCACCCAGACACCAGAGCTTCTCGAGACGGTGCAAGAACTGGTGGTTGAAGACTGCCTAGTGACTACTCGAGAGCTGGATGAGTGGCTCGACGTTGGCAAGAGTACTGTCCACGAGGTGCTCACACAAGACCTGCAATTGCACAACAAAGCATCAGTTTGGGTACCGCACCGACTGTCTGAGGACAACAAAGCGGATCGCATCAACGGTGCCAAGCATATCAGGGGCATTTTTTTCCACGAAGGCGTGGAGGCTTTCTCCAACAAGCTCAAGAAGGCCATTTGCAACAAGCTTATTCCGTGTAACAGACAGTGACGGAAATACCAAGTTTGAACCACGTGAACGTGTAGAAGCGAAAGTTCTCAGCGCTTGTAGCCATATCCAAATTGTTGAAAACAGCCCGCGTCACACTGAGCTTATAGAGCTGTCTTTTGAGATTTACTATGTAAGCACTTCTCAACGGATTGACTTGAAAATCGGCAATCACAGAGATTACATATCGATCTAAATGCCTGAGCAGTGAGAAGTGCACTGATTGTAGAGTTACAAATTTACAATCGATTCTCATTACTTTCCGGACACCCGAAGTAAAAGATGATGATATGTACCTTTCCGAAAAATGAGAGCGGTGTAGGCAAGGAAAGGAGACGACGTTCCCCCGACAGCTCCCAATCCCCAAGGCTTTCTGACCCTTTTTGGCTATTGTGTCCCACATTCCTTATGACCCTGTCCCATTATCCTTTTGGCCAGGATCCGAATTCAATCATAGAAGGTGTGACGTATATTGTATGTGCGGTCATGCCCCTCTCAAAGCGCCCGCTTTCGGCGAGACATAACCAAGCAAACTCGCGTAGGATTGATGGCCCTTGCTTCAATAGCCCTTTCATACCAGTTCAGGCTAAAAAAATAAGGTAAACACCTCCGGCTTTTGCCAACTTTTGATTCTAGACCGGAGTGAACTTTGTACGAATGATTGAAGCCGTCGCTTCTTTTTCTAAAAGTGCTAATTCAGGAACTCTTACGTAGCTCCTACAGCATAGTTAATTAATGAACGTCGTTGTGTTTATAAAAAGGGCAGTACCATCAGGATTCTTCTTCACGAGACATATCATCTACGAAAAGGGGCTAATGGGAAGAAGTAGCATTTATTTAAGCACCCATTAGCGCGTCAAGATAATGCAGCTGAAGATTTTAAATTTTACTTTATTGCATGCTGCATGATTAATACAGGTATTCCATATTGTCCTAACAGGGAATGAGAAAATCGAGATACTTGACGGGAGAGACACGGATCTGCAACTGGACCTTGGAGAATTAATTAAGTTTCTGCTAGAGAGAGGGAAGGAAAAACACGTTCTTCTGGATGAAGTCCCCATCACCCTAGGTTTCCAGGGTGTCCTCTACTCAGAAACCCTTTCCAACCACTGGAAACAGATTGTGGACATGTCTCCTCATGTGAAGTCGGTCACTGTCTCCTTTCGACCCAATGATCAGTCTTACACAAGAGATTTCCTTCTCCAGGAAGTGAAACCCGGCGGTTATCAGATTGAAGTCCTTGAAGGAGTGAAACGAAATAGCAGAAATATAGCTGAGTTATTCTTGGCAATTATGGATTACTCCCGCCATACCTTCACATCCCTTGAGAGGACGTTTCCAATAGATATGAGAGTGTCTGAGAGGGAATTCCTCCCAGTGCTCTTTCCAATCCCCTCCTGTTTCTCATTACACGCAGGACATTGCAGGGACAAAAACATATGCGAGGCAGTGAGGGCGTCTTATGCCATTAGCATTATTTACGAGGAATGCTCTCAGTCCTTGAATAATCTCCCGATTTTCGTCGTGGTTGATTCTTACGAGAGATGGAATGCTCTTGTGAAGATACTTATTTTCTCATTCGACTCCCTCCCTGTGCATTTTCATGACTCGGGTTCGTACTGGGGAGGGAAAGGTATTACCATCAGAGAGAGTTTCCGTGGGAAGCAGGTCCCAGATGGCTCCGTACCCATCGTCGTTGTCACTCAAGACGAAATAATGGGATGTCACCTGAAGAACAAGACAGTGATATTAGATTTCCCTGATTCGCAATGGAAGAACTACATCCGATTGATAGTACCCAATGGCGAAAACATGATCGTCGTGTTAGAAGAAGAAGAGTTGAGGACGGGGAAGTTTTCTCGTATCCTAAAAGAAGTATCTCAATGGAATAAGGGAAAGCTTGATGAAAAAGACCTTCATCGAAGGCTGGAAATGGCGTGGCTAAAATTCACTGATGAGGAAATAAGCCGGATCATGGACGGACTCGATTCTGCATCCTTCCCATCTTTGGAAATGGATCGAGATGAATATATAGAAGCGGATGTTGCACATGTGAAGAAGATGAGTGAATGCTGGCTCACTGGAATCTTTGGATACCCAGGCTCAGGAAAATCGAGGAAAGTGTGCCAGTTGATTCGCCAAGTGATGGAACAAAAGGGTCAATTCTTCATTCTCCACTGCGGAAGTACTCTGGCTGTGGGAGCGTACCGACGAAGCTTGGGGACAATGGCTACCTTGGAAATTGATAAAATAGGTTCAAGTGATGTCAACTCTCTACAGGCCATCTTTAAACGTACGGAAAAGATTCTGAAGGAGAAGCGCGAAAAAAATGTGCTTGGGATGGAGGAGGAAGGTAAGGAATCGGATCCTGTGGTTGTGGTCGTCGAGGATTGCCCATTATTGAAAGAACTTCACGGAGCCACAACGAAGCTGAAAGCTATGAATATGAGGCTCATCCTCGTCTTTAAACCTCATTCGAGAGAGGTTTCAAGAGACAAGGTTGATGAAACTATAAAAGTCCTAAACGAGAACCAAGACAGTACCGCAATTGTACTTCAATCTCAACCCATAAATGTGCATCTTCTGAAGCATATTCAAGAAAACGAGACGAGGACAACGCTTAATTTGGAAGCGAAGAGTTTGCCTGTATCTTCCGTGCCTGCCGCCATAGTCTTAGGTCCAGTAGTACGGTATTTCAAGTGCTCAGGGCTACATTTAGGATACATCTGCAAGGGGAAGGATAAGTGCTTCAAATCTGTAGCAGTTGCTTCGGCTCTTCGGCTTGCAGCCCTTTCGAAGAAGATCGAAAGGGCTGCAAGCCGAAGCCGAAAACTGGCTCATATCCTGGTATCAGATGAGGATTTGCTTAGGTCCTTGGAGTCCCTTAACTCCAGTCCTGATGTCCAAGTAGTACACCCAAATGACTTCCGCGGGTGTGAGACTTCAGGCGTCATTTCCGTGAACGTGAGTGACGATTGGTTACTTGAAGTCATCTCCCGTTCCAGGACTCAACTCATCATCATTGACATCATCCCCGACCATAATGACCTCTGGAAGACTATGAGTCGAGAAGAACATGTACAGGTTTGGGATGGACCCTCACCTATTGACTTTGAAGCTCAGCCAGGAATTGTTCTGAAACTTGATGAGAAGGAGAGGTTCTTGGGGGTACGTCTTTTTTCGTCTTCCGTCTCAGTCTTCCATCTTTCTTCTCTTACTTTAATATCCTGCATCATGTCCTATCATGTCAGGTATCCAATATGCAACGATCTTATGGAAATTTTTCTGTAAATCCCTACGACTGCACTTATACAGGTAATTGCGATAAATAATGTTTATTGCTGATTTAGAGCCCCTTGGTTAAAAATCAAGGATACTTTTCCTTGAGATATGGATATACTTATAATAACTTCTTCATATTTAAAGACTTTCACGATGGAATTTTTTTTTACATATTTGCATTTATATGCTGGGGTATCTACCAGGGTAAATGTGAACCTGGAAGTATAGCAGCGACGTCAGACAGGCAGAACTCGTGATCATGTTTCATCCATATTAGATTATAACAAAATGCCGATGGCTTTAATTTGGCCTTGAGCGCCTTATGTATTGGTGTCCTTCGAGTTTTAGAAGGATGTTTTTTGCTTGTAGCGCTTGAAAAAAGGTGTTTCGTATGTGCATCATTCAGTTCTGCAATAGAAAACTTCGATGATCAGTAGAATGTTGTGGTATTTTGGAATCGTAGGTGAAACAGTTGTACGCTGCCGAATGTAATTTAAGTAGACCTAGTGAAACCGTGAAAATGCGACTGGAAATGACAGTTAAGAACGGCTTTACTGTTGCTCTTTCGGGCTAAGGAGTTTGTCTGCTCTATAATATAAATGCGAACCCAAGGAGAGAGCTAACGAGCAGGTTAAACTTTAAAGAAATATAAATGATCCAGTCAGATATTGAAACCTATCAGCCAGCACTTCTATTAGTCCCAACGTTTTAAGTTATGCATCATGCTTGAAGCTCAAATATACTTCACAGTTTACACATTCCTATGCCATATTGACATACAGATAGTCCTACTTTCATCAGGTTTTGAAGTTTTCTTTCAGTGATAGGGGGCTAGGTGAACCTCACATTTTTTGCCTTTGAAATCTTGAAGGAATAATTACAATTTAAAAAAATAGCGTTTTGATGAAAATTTCAACAAAAAATAAAACACCTGCAGTAATGTTTCAAATTGGATGTATCGATAGTTACATTGACCAACCAATCTGCCGAATGCTCTTCCCTATACATTCCTTCTATGTGCTCCAACATCACTGATCACTGGCAGCTGACAGTCCCTGAGAGGAAACTTCTCTTCATACTTCCTATCCTGAGTTATCAAAGCCAATTTTTGTCATCAATCACAGAATAAAAACTTACGAATAACTTCATGGGATACGGGGAAGAGGGCTAGCCCCTTGGTAAATGTTTGCGAGATAATGGTATATTATTTTTGATTAAATTTATGCCAATCAATCTTAAAATCTTCAGGCAAGCACTCAATATGTTAATCTTCATCACAGACTCAATCTCTTTTCCTCTTCTTAAATAAGAACCGATTCTCCATAGCTTTGATTTTTTCGAGTTGGCATGATTTGCCATTTCCACGTAGGTTCAGTTAATACATATTCAGAAATCTTTTCATTCATATATGAAGAGTTTTGCAGACGAGAAGCGTTACTTGAAGATTAAAAGATTCTCGGAAAAAACACGTGCTGTAATAAAAGGAAACTTGCCGGAATAGCTTTCCAGTTAGAATATTCGATATGAGCCATAATAAGAAGACAACCGATGAAATTATTGCTAGTTTGCCCATCCCTCAGTTATCAAAGAAGGCGGCGAAAATGGTCGCACAACCGACCTCCAACACAGTTTCTTTCAGTTCTCTTTGGATTCATTTCGGCATTTTTGTTTCTTTCTTTTGATATATTTCTACCTTTATACAATAAGTCTATCTGGTGTCTTAAAAAGTTTCCTTTCCCCTAGACCAGAGGTATTCAAAGTGGGGCCAACTTCATGGTTTTATGCGGCCCACTTTGACTTAGAAATTGAAATTTCACGCTCAACCGTTTCATCGGCACTGATGAATAATAGCTATTAAATTATTTTTTTTCATTTCCAGATTTTGAATCCTTCGCTCAAAACAAATAAATTTAGTGGATGCTTAGGTATTTAGGTACATATAAAACCTAATTACATTTAGCTGTTCATATATTTTGGTGTGCACCTACTAAATGCTTAACATTTGGAACCTCCATTTACTGCAGAGAAAAAAATTCTTTCCTCCCAAGTGAATGAAGTTAAGGGAAAAGAAAGAAGTATTTATTTAAAAAAATACAACTTGTAACAAAGTAGTATCTAGAATTGATGCGTTTACATGAGCCCCGACTTCTAGTAGTAGCAGTTTTCGATAGTAGCTGCTCATTGTTTTAAATGCGGCCTCCCGGTTTAGAGTAGCTTGACAACGAGATCGATGACCAGATGAAGGGTTAACCATGCAGAAATGTTGAATTTTTTTAATGCAGCCCACTCCAGATTGACTAACGTTACTAGAGCGGCCCACTCAAAGTGGACCAAAGTATCCATGCGGCCCTCACCTCAAAAAGTTTGGGGACCACTGCCCTAGACGGATGAAGGGAGAGCCTTGTAATAAATGCAGGTTCTCAATACGTTTCCAGGAGCCGACCTGGAACAACGCTGGGGAGAGAATTGGGGAGGAAGCAGTGAGAAAGGAATTAATTGACCCGAAGACGGGCACTATCCTTTGTCTCCCTCCTGAGACATGGGAGACGCTGAACGACACTCTACTTTTACCCTCATCTTCCTCCCCTTTCGCCGATTGGGGATACGCTTGGGATGGTATGTGATTGATATCCAAGAGACATTGAAGCCTGTTCGGAGAAGAAATACCCATTACTCTTCCAAGAGAAAGAGGAAGATTCCATATGTCCTATATGTACTCACAGTCTTCTTGTTTCCACAGATATCACAAAGGATTGGGGGAAATGTCCAGCTTTTTTGTCCCACCCACTTTCTTTATTAAAATGTTTCAAGGGGGAGAGTGGAAGAAGGGGGGAATCAGAAAGTAATTGCTTGGTGAAATCCTGAAATAAGCTAGTGTGCTCTTAAGACCCGCTCACGCTAATTCTAACCATGTTCTAGGAAAGTTTAAAATCTGAAACTTGGTACCTTGTGGAATGCAGAGTTCAGAAAAAATTCGACTTCGGATGTACATGCCTTGGAGGTACTTATTTTGGTGAGTGAAGATTTTTTAAATATATATAGTGACGGATGAGAATGGCATCGAGAGGACGGACTGGATGTCCTGAGTTTGGTGGTGTAGTGGTAGCAGATATTGCCAACAATCAGTAGGCCCGGGTTCAATTCACGGCCATTCCTTGGCTTCTTTTTGGCTTCTCTTGCCTTTCATCTCACGTTACTCATTCCCATCCATAACATTATTTTTAGTTGAATAAAACGGAGAGACATGGAAAGATGAATCGTGAGAGGGACGTGCCGACCGAGCCGATGAGTCCTGGAAAATTGCAAAATTTTAGATCCTGGGGGCATATTTTTGTTGAGTATTTTTTTTGTCCTGAGATATTGAGCTAGTGTGGAAAGATGAAACTTGGTATATAAATACCTATTGGGATGCTGCACATAGAAAAATTCATGCTTTCGAGGAAAATGACCCGGGGGGCACAAATTTCAAAGGGAGATGTTCTCCTTCATCTGCTAAAATGTTTAACAATGAAAACTGAAACTTTGCATGAATGTGACTACTAAGACAAGGAGTTAAAGAAAAATGTTCAGTCTCGATAAATCCCCATGAGAGTTTTTTCGAGGGGCGATGTTTTAGAAAAAAAACTTTTTGTCGTGGCGAATTGGACAGAAATGGAAAGGTGAAACTTGGCACATGCATAAGTGAGATGATAATATTGAGTTCAGGGAGTATTCGGCTTTCATAGTGCATCCCCTCTGGGCATAGCTTTTGGGTGGGTCGGTTTTTCCAAATCAGTCGGTTAAAATAGTACTTTTCGGTTAAAAGGGCTCAGGACACATATTTTGCAAAAGGTGTATTTTCCCAAATTTTCTAATTAAGCAAAACAGAGGGCGCATGAAAGTTTAAATATGGCAAAGAAGTACCTAATGGATAGCTGAGTAAAAAAAATTCTACTTTTATTATACAGGGTGTTCCAAAAGAACCTACCCACTGTTTGTCAGGGTATATCTCCTGGTAAAATGCATAGGCAATGATAATTTTGGCGTGTGTATTATAGCCGAAAGGGAAAGTAATATAATCGGGGATGGCTGGATGATCTCGCCTTAGCATTGTAGAAAGGGTACAAATAGTCAAATGGCACGCTAAGTATGAAAATGTGACAGAAGTGCAACGCAGTTTGAGAAAACTTTTGGATGTCGTCCCCCAGAACGGAAATCCATTGTAGCTCTAGTCAGAAAGTTCGATACCACTGGTAGTGTCCTTGATGGTGAAAGAAGTGGCAGGCCAAGAAATGCTCGCACAGAGGAAAGAACCAAGGCCATTTCAGAGTCACTCAAAAACTAAAGTTATTCACTGTAGCAGTGATAATTAAGGATACAGTACTTGATGTGATAATAAAGGATACTTTTTGAACCGTGTTGTACTATTTATTTCTCTGGCAACGCCGTGTATCTCAGCTAGTATATATATATAATGTTGAGTCCAATGTTTAATAAAGAACGGCTTTTTAAGCGATTACCTGGTAGGGCATTGGCCTGCTTCCCACCCAGGCGCATAGATAGTGGAAAGGAAATACCAAAGGTGCCTGTCCCACCCAAACCAATCTAGGCTATGGAGGAAAGCACCCCACTACAATTAAACGCTCCTAAAACAAGAAGCCTCCCGTTTTGCCTAGCAACCCATTGCTTTGGCTGATGTACGCAATTGAGTCCACTTCGTAATAATAATAATAATAATAATAATAATAATATAAATAATAGAATACTTAATAAAACACGCAGGCATGGGGGGGTGTGTGTGTATGTGTGTGTTAAGTCTCCATGGTGACCACGGTGTCAGTCCCACCCAGACCGATCTAGGCATGGGGGAAGAAACCCTGCTCCTGAACCAAAACCCGATAGAGATTGTCCAAGCTATGGGAGGCTAGCCTGCAGAGAAGGGGCGAGGCTGAAGGAAACTAAAAGAGGAAGGACAGTGAAGAAAAATATCCCAGAAATTGTCTTACGGACTTAAGCCGGGTGTGCCTCTGATAATCTGGGAACTACCTTCCACTCATTTAATTTCATAGCTTTAGCGCCTAACGACAGAAACGGTCTGGATAGGGTGTCATGCTAGGTTTGCAGCCTCAACCCATTGACGACGCAGGCTGCATGACAATTTCTGGTATATTTCTATTCACTGTCCTTCCTCTTTTAGCTTCCTTCAGCCTCGCCCCTTCTCTGCAGGCTAGCCTCCCATAGCTTGGACAATCTCTATCGGGTTTCGGTTCGGGGGCAGGGTTTCTTCCCCCATGCCTAGATCGGTCTGGGTGGGACTGACACCGTGGTCACCATGGAGACTTAACACACACATGCACACACACACCCCACCCATGCCAGCGGGTTTTATTAAGTATTCTATTATTAATATTATTATTATTATTATTATTATTATTACGAAGTGGACTCAATTGCGTACATCAGTCAAAGCAATGGGTTGCTAGGCAAAACGGGAGGCTTCTTGTTTTAGGAGCGTTTAATTGTAGTGGGGTGCTTTCCTCCATAGCCTAGATTGGTTTGGGTGGGACAGGCACCTTTGGTGTTTCCTTTCCACTATATATATATATATATACAGGGTGTTCCAAAAGAAACTACCCACTGTTTGTCAGGGTATATCTCCTGGTAAAATGCATAGGCAATGATAATTTTTGGCGTGTGTATTATAGCCTAAAGGGAAAGTAATATACTCGGGGATGGCTGGAAGATCTCGCCTTAGCATTGCAGAAAGGGTACAAATAGTCAAATGGCACGCTAAGTATGAAAATGTGACAGAAGTGCAACGGCAGTTTGAGAAAACTTTTGGGTGTCGTCCCCCAGAACGGAAATCCATTGTAGCTCTAGTCAGAAAGTTCGATACCACTGGTAGTGTCCTTGATGGTGAAAGAAGTGGCAGGCCAAGAAATGCTCGCACAGAGGAAAGAACCAAGGCCATTTCAGAGTCACTCAAAAGAAGACCAAAAACGTCCATTCGTCGCCTGTCACAGGAGCTGGATGTGTCTCAATCAACAATTTTGCGCATTTTGAGAGAACTTGGTCTCAAACCATATAAGCCAATACTGATTCATGGCCTCTCAGATGGAGACACGGACAGAAGGACTGAGTTTTGTGAAGTGTTCTTGAAAATGCTAGAGAATGATGCCACTCTACTGGATCGAGTCATTTGGACCGATGAAGCAATTTTCATGTTAAATGGTCACGATCAGATGGAGACACGGACAGAAGGACTGAATTTTGTGAAGTGTTCTTGAAAATGCTAGAGAATGATGCCACTCTACTGGATCGAGTCATTTGGACCGATAAAGCAATTTTCAAGTTAAATGGTCACGTCAATCGCCACAACTGCGTGTACTGGTCCACAGAGAATCCAAAGATAACAATGGACAAGGTGGTCAACACGAAAGGTGTCACTGTTTGGGCTGGAATATGGTCTGGAGGTATCATTGGACCATTCTTTTTTGATGGAACTCTCACAGGAAATTCATACCTAGCGTTACTCAACGAAAAGCTGTGGACAGAAATCGAACACCATGTGGAAGCAGAGCACCTTTACTCCATGCACGATGGAGCTCCAGCACATTTCAGTCAGCAGGTACGGCAGTGGCTGGACGAAAAGTTTCCCAATTCTTGGATTGGACGCAGAGGCCCAGTGGAGTGGCCACCGAGGTCACCAGATTCGACACCGGTTGACTTTTTTCTTTGGGGAGTTTTGAAAGATCAAGTGTATGGTAAGCGGCCACGGACAGTTGCTGCACTCAAATAAGCAATCATTGATTCAATTCGTTCCCTGCCTGTGGATTTGTGTCAAAAAGTGTGCCGTTCTGTTCGATCACGACTGGAAAAATGTCTAGACGTTGGCGGCATTCAAACGGAACTGTTTTGAGTGAACATCCTTACACCATCGTAAAGAGAACTTTCTGGTTTACAAAGTGGTGTCATATTATTTGGTCTACGCCTGTTACTTTCTGAGTTATGCATCTTCAAACAGTGGGTAGTTTCTCTTGGAACACCCTGTATATAGAATGCCGTGAGTGACTGACTGACAGAAGTAGCTATTCGCATGCTGAGTTCAGGAAAAGTTCTACTTTGGTGATACATGCCATAGGGCACACCTTTTCGGGGAACATATTTTCAAATAGTTCTCTTAGCTTCAATCAATCGGAGAGTCGTGGAATGCTGAAACTTGGCAAGAACATGACCGTTGGCGCATTGAGCTCAAATGTCAGACGTCCAATTTCGGAAATGATGTTGGGGTTAATATTTCTTGGGGACATAACGTTTTCAAATAATTTTTCATGTCCTTCCGAATCGGGCAGAAATAGAAAGGCGCACGCATAGCGGAAGCGATGTTGATTTAAGGAAAAATTCAAATATTTTTGTGCGTCTCCTCAGAGCACAGCTTTTGTGTGGGTCGCTTTTCCAAATATATTTTTTCCTCCAGCAAGAAGGGGAAACGTATCAGGCTGAAACTGTGTAGCATTGGAGGACTTTTCCAGCGTCGTCTGGAACTGATTTAATCTTTTAATTCTTATCTCTCCAGGATGTGAAGCGGAAGTACCCCATGTTAATGATGATAATCAGAGGGCAATCTTCGAGATGCTTAAAGAGAAGGGGGTGAAATGGGAGCCGGAGCAGAGGCCCCCAGTGGCCCTCAAGGGACAGAGCAATGGTGTAGGATTCCTGGAGTCTCTTTCCCTCACTTTCACTGGATCCCTCCTGCATCTTCCTCTCCTCAAGGTCTGCATCATCCTTCCCGTTCCTCCATACTTCTTTTTCTTTCTATTTCAAATGGGGAGTAGACAGGAAACTTCAAAGTTGGAGATTTCAAGAATGAGAAACTGACACAATCCAGGGGCAGCAATTATGAACCTGCGTTCTGCAGCGACCATCATTGCTGTTAGAATGTTTTGTGTACTATCCAACGGGTTTTCGATGCTGGAATCTTCATTTTATTGTATGGGAAGAGACGAGAAGGAGTAGCGGCGTTAACCAAAACAAATATTGTAATCCTCTACTTAAAAAAAAGAAGCATGTTATTTGAACTAGAAGGATGAACAAAGGGTCAAAGGTTTGGGTTTGGGGGCTGCTCTGTGGAATAAAAAGTTCAAATTATTGGTAATGATTTGGATGAATCATTCCCAATAATTTAGACATTGCAATTTGGACTTCACATGGCTTCCTATATTCTTCGTGAAGCTTGTAAACTATGAGGGCTTGCTGTTGCTAGTCCGTTGCCAGTTTCACACTTGTTGGAGCAGTCTCAAATAAGAAAATGTTCAGTAATTGATGTATCTGTCAGTGACATATTCTGTTCACATCTGCTCGGAAGCAACGAAAATGGGAACTGCTCGCGTGGAAAAATCATTTTGAGAATTTGCTCATTAGGAAGAAGAACTGGGGAACAAGGTGTTCATGAAACATCATATTATGCAAATATGTTGTATTGCTTTTATATGTCTACGTATAATACATGGTTACCTTCATCCATCCAATGATGGTCCTGAAAATCTAGTAAAGACGCAAAAACGTGTCTCGGATATCGTACCTGGTGATGAGACAGGGCTCTATCATTATGACCTGTCGTCTAAAAATAAAATTTGAATGAAAGGATTTCACGGCACTCAGAGTCCCTCTTCTCCTTAAGGGGAGGAGAATGCGGGGGCCTGGCGTTTAGGCAAATTGCAATAACTCTTGCTGAACAAAGAAATTCAATTGAAATTCAATGCGAAATTTAATAGAACTTCCAAAACCCTTTTTGAAACAAGGAATAAAATGTCCGCTTCTGGAATTATAATGCATGACTTTAACTTTACCTTCAGAGCAACCATTGTAGCTACTGCCGCGGAATCTCCGGTTTGTTGTGATATTTTCCCGGCTGCTCTCAATATTCTCGAGAGATATTCGAGCAGTGCTGATTCAGGGCTATATGCAGTTTAATCTGTTGATACAGAAGATTCTGGTGGATGATGATCCCGGAGACCCTTTATCTCAAGTGAACCTGGCAGTGGAGATTCTCAGAAGACCCATTGTCCTTATCGGAAAAGAAAGATCTGGTAAATTCTATTTTGACTTATTTTCTTTATCGCACTTAAACTGAAGAATTATCAATTCATCTCCCATGTGTTCAATGCAACTTTTGTGGCAGTATTGCCCATTGCATTTTTGAAATAACAGACTTCAAACTCTATAGATTTGGCGGCGACTAGTTCAACGATAATGAGGAATCTATTATTCTTTAATTCGCCCTGCCCTTGAAGAAAGAATCCTTTCGTTCTAAAGAACGAAAGGATTCTTCCCAGAGCTGTTCGTTTTAAATAAGCATGCATTCGAAATCAATTGATTCAAGTCAATTTTTAGTCATGCTTTAGATACGAGGAGTTTTGATCCGGCAATACTTTATTTGAAGTGCATACAGTATTACACCCTCTGTCTTGAAGGCTTAGACCCAGAGAAGTTTCAAGAAAAGTCATATTACTGAAAAATTTGTCCCTTCCTTCATCCAAAACTTCATCGAAAATCTATAACCCAATCCCATTTTCAGAAATATGTGCTCTAGTGCAGCAATTCCAAAATTGTTCCGCATCAGGGTGGATCGCGTACATTTTTCATTGTATAAAAAAGCACTATGTCTGCATCCGCCAGGATAAAACATGACGTACACAGAAGGTTGATCAGTTTTATTCACCTCCAAGTTACTTTAGAATTCCCTCGTTCTGGATACTGGTTGATCGCAAAATTTTCTCTGCGTCAGCAGGAGGGTCTCGATTCAATGAAGTCTGGGAGCCGCTGTTTTAGTGCGAGCTTTTCCAAGATATATGCATTAGTTCCAAAATTGTAAGTTTACTTTTTCATTTAGTGCATACATATGGGGGGGGGGGAAGTTCATTTAATAATTTATTTCAGAAAAATTTTCTACTTCAGGGTGTCCATGAAAGAACAAAACAAAAACAAAACGATCTAATACTTTAATGCGCATCCAAAACTTAGCATTTTGGCATTTTAGATAGCGTTCATGCAGTATCCTTGCTTAATAGGTTGTAATGGCAATCTCGCTTTTGAAGTGGCCGCATGCCACTGCGAATCTAGGACTTTTTCTCAAAAGGAATGAGAGTTCATTTCGCAATTACTCGCTGGATTATAATAAAACGCGCATCCACCTATGAGTCGCCCTTTTGGTGAGTGATTAAGAAGCCTGTGAAGTCTGAACAGTGATTTTCAGGACCAACACTTCCCTATAAAACTGATGAATGACAATGTACCTAGGTATTTCGGGAGAAGTTCCTGGACTTAGTGAACAAGATCATGTCATAGCATCAATGGCAGTGGTTTCACGCAGGTATCACTTTCGCAACTGCAAAAATAGCTCTAAATAGCTTTGCACAGCATATCCTGAATCTCACTTGCCTCTTCGCCTGATTATTACTGCGGTGTGTAATTCATTTTTCATTCATGGAGTCTTGTGCTTGTGTCTCCGATTCAGGATGAATACAAAATACCAGGGAAATGCGTGAAACTACCCTTTTTTACTTTAGGCAACTTAATCAGTGAGTCGCCACTTGCCATGGAAGAGATTCCCAGGGATCTGATTCCCTATCGTGGAACTACGTTTTTTCATGAAAGATCTGTGGTAATTATTCTAAGAAAGAAAGAGGGGAAACCTCAGGAAGCGGTGGAAAAATATTTTACAATTTTTTTCCCAGATGTTTTTCTCCCCAAGGAAAGACATGAGAAAGGGGAGCTACGGGGTATTCTGCTCTTTTGTGAGAATCACTCCAGTGCCCTCACCATCTTCCCAATCGTTCCTCATCGCAGTGAGTCTTTCGTACATGAAGTACTTGTTGAATTATTATTTGTTATATTTTGTAATTAATAATGATGTCAATTGAAGTCATGCTTTTGAAGTGCGACCCCTCATGGCACATATTTCGACAGGGACGTACTTTGAGCAAGATTTGGCTGCTATGAAAAGGTTCATTATTGAAACTGTTATTATTACTATATCCTTGAAGGCCACAATTAATTTTAAACTAATTTAAATCGTCAAATTATTAATTTTCAACTTTCTCCGTTTTAAGTTATTTCAAAATTGTTTTGTTAAATTCTATTCTTATTTAGCATTTAGTATTTTCCTTAATGTTCATTCAGTATTTTTCCACGCTTAATCTCAACGTCGAGTTGATTCATTAAATAAGAGAAAATTTAAGAAACCAAGAGGAGGGGGGATGAGAAGGAGAAAAGCGAAAGAGTATATATCTGACCAGGCTCTATGGAGTCTGATTTGACATTTTCACTTTCGAGACTCCGAAGTAAATTGAGGTGAGGAAGTTTCATGTGAAAAGGACATGTGAAAGAGAACTGAAAGTCCTGAAAGAAGGCTCATGGACTGAAAATGGATGAGTATGTGACGGGGCAGAAGTAAAAATAAAAGATTTCAGTTTTCTTTATCAATACATCTCCGAAACTCATAACTTACTTGGCTTCCACCAATTTGTGGGTTATTGATCTTAGAGGAAATGAAAATATCAGCAGGAAAGTCTTTGAATATCACGAATACGATATTTCCCATGTATACTAACTCCGGTTTTCTTGAAAGCGGGCTGACAGTGCAAAAAATGTTTTTGTTATTGCTACGCTGTTCCAGTTTTTACACGAGCTCATAATTTACAGAAGAGTAAAGGGTGTGTAATTCCCACTCTAATCCCCCTCATCTTCTCTCCACTTTCATCTCTCTTGGCTATCTTTTCACACCCAAAGTGAGTGGATCTGTGTGGATGGAGGTGGAGATGGATTATGTGGAGCCCCATGTGGACAGTGGAGGCAGGCCCCCTATCTCAAGCAACAGAATCTTATTCCTGGGGACGTCGAAAGTGACATGGAAAATGCACACTGTTACCATGTTGCGGACAATTGATAGGGTACTGTCAAATTTGCCCCCCCTCAACCGAGGTAGGAAGATTCATATTGTTCTTAAGAAATCAGAAGTTATACTTGACACGAGGGTTACAGATTAGAAAAGAAAAGACTCCTCTCTTTTGTCCTACGAGCATGTACAGGGTGATTCTTTCGGCACTAGACCCAAGAAAATGCGAATATTTCAGCAAGTTATGAACGTATAATTATGAAATTTGCGTCAAAGGAACATGGGACATTGGGAAAGGAGGGGGAAAAATCCTAGATGGCGTCTGGCGCCATGTCGCGCGCCGCCGTGTCTACACTGCCTCTGGCGTGGCAATAGATCCCTGTCATTGTGTTGTGTGGTAGTGAAGGAGAATGGTGTACACAACAGAGGAGCGTGTATTCATCGTTCGTAATTACTGAGTGACAGGTTCCTTTAAACAGTGTCAGGCCGCATTTTTGAGGAAATATGGCGGTAGGAAGCCACCAGCAAAGCAGACGATTGCAAATTTGGTGAAGAAGTTAGAGACGACAGGAAGCGTTCTTGATATCCATGCAGGTGGCAAACCACCGATGTCGGATCAAACAATGGCGGACGTAAAGCAACGCTTACAACAATCACCAAAGAAATCCTTACGCAGACTTTCTCACGAAACTGGTTTGTCTTACTCAACCTGTCAGAGAGCGGCAAAGAAGGCAAAGTTGAAGGCTTACCGATGGCGGACGTAAAGCAACGCTTACAACAATCACCAAAGAAATCCTTACGCAGACTTTCTCAGGAAACTGGTTTATCTTACTCAACCTGTCAGAGAGCGGCAAAGAAGGCAAAGTTGAAGGCTTACCGTGTTACCGTCGTCCAGGAATTAAAGCCGTTAGATGCACAGAAGAGAATGGCATATTGCGAATGGTTCATGAATCTCTTTGGCGAAGACGACGAACTGCTGGACATAACATGGTATTCAGATGAAGCTTGGTTTCACTTAAGTGGTTATGTGAACTCCCAGAATACACGCATATGGGCAACAGAACACCCTCATGAGATTCATGAAGCGCCGCTCCACTCGGAAAAGACAGGTGTGTGGTGTGCAATCTCCAGGCGTCGCATAATCGGTCCAAATTTTCTTCCACGAGACTTTGAATACTGCTCGCTATCTGGAAATCTTCAACGAATTTGTGAAACAACTTGATGACGACGAGCTCCGAATCGGCTATTTTCAGCAGGATGGAGCCACATGCCACACGTCGAATGAGAGCATGACTGAAATCGAAAGCTTTTTTGATGACCGGATTATTTCGAAAGGCTTATGACCGCCAAGATCTCCTGACTTAAGTCCGCCCGATTTTTTCCTGTGGGGCGCCTTAAAAGGAAAAGCTTATGCCAACAAGCCACGCACCATACAGGAACTGGAAAACAACATTCGACGAAAGGCTTATGGCCGCCAAGATCTCCTGACTTAAGTCCGCCCGATTTTTTCCTGTGGGGCGCCTTAAAAGGAAAAGCTTATGCCAACAAGCCACGCACCATACAGGAACTGGAAAACAACATTCGACGTGAAATTGCTGCGATTAGTGAGGACGTCTTGCAGGCCACTTTCGCAAACATGAAGCGTCGCGTTCAGCTCTGCCTGGACAGTGGTGGCGAACATTTCCAGCATCTCCTCTAGTATTGACATGCTTCTCATGAAGCAAGGTATTAATATGTAGTCATATATGCATGTTCAAAATCTAATGAATAGTCTGAAATTTTCGCATTTTCTTGGGTCTAGTACCGAAAGAATCACCCTGTATATAATAATTCAGAGAGGGACGATGTTTAATGTGACATGTACGGTAGATTCAAGATTCAAGATAATTAGTGATATCAAGAGGCGATTTCGCCCATTTCGATTTCACGTGTCGAGGTCGAACGTTCCTTAATTTTAGGTTAGGCCTAACCCTCTTAAGGCTATATATTTTTGTATTTTTGTTTTGTTTTTTTTTTTGTTTTTTGACTATCCTAGTTGCTTACTGTCTAGTACCTACGTCAACATTGCCCCCCACCTTTTTGCCTGTCCATGAAAGCATCTAGTTTCTTCTTAAAGATAGTCACAGTGCGGGGCAGCCACTACTTTGTCATATAACGCATTCCACGCGTTCCAACAAATCGCCCTCATTTGTAGGCCTCCAAAACTGGATGCGATATTCCAACAGGGGTCTTATCAGCGCCACATACAACGGAAGAATAACGCGCGAAGTCCTACTTGCAATCGACCGACGAATGAAACCTAGAATCCTGTTGCAATTGGCCACCGTCGCTTGCACGTGCGTAGAAAACTTGAGGTCCTCATCGATAGAAACTCCTAAATCTCTCTCTCCGTTTGCCTCACCCAATTTAATCTCGCCGAACGTGTCGAGAAACCTACTGTTATTTCTACCGACGTGAAGACAACATTCGACGTGAAATTGCTGCGATTAGTGAGGACGTCTTGCAGGCCACTTTCGCAAACATGAAGCGTCGCGTTTAGCTCTGCCTGGACAGTGGTGGCGAACATTTCCAGCATCTCCTCTAGTATCGACATGCTTCTTATGAAGCAAGGTATGTAGTCATATATGCATGTTCAAAATCTAATGAATAGTCTTTGAGATATTCGCATTTTCTTGGGTCTAGTACCGAAAGAATCACCCTGTATAAGGTGACATTAATTGGCTGATGACCTTCACCTTTTCCTCATCCTGGGAAATTCCAACTTCCGAAAATAGTTTTTGGCTTCGTGAGCTTTCTTCCTCGAAACATTTGTAGCACATCCCCCGAGAGGAAAAATTAGGAGAAAGAAGTGAAAAGACTCAGTCTATTTCTACTTACTAAGGAACGCCGAAAGTTGTGGTAGGCTGGGGGTCGCTAGCAAATTTATCTATCCCAATTTGCATAACCGAACCGTAAGAAGTAGGTACATGACACACCTGCGGCCCGCGGGCCGCGGGTTGTATATCGCTGGTGCTTAACATTTTTCTTTCGTTTCGTTTTCGTTTCATAGTTTCCTCTCCGAGTGTCCGTGAGTTCAATGGTCTTCCAAAATCTAGTCAAATTTTGAATGAATGTCTGATATGAAGTTTTGTTTGAAGTCTTTTCAATAGAGGCTTCCTTTGGTCATAGTGAGGATTCTTCTTCTTATTCTATTTGTTCACTGAGCCCCTTCAATCAGGAAAGTCTTCGAAGGTTTTCATTTTTCGTCTCAAATGTCCAGAAAATTTTCAACCATCCTGATATGACAGAAAGGTTTCATTTTCTCTTTCAGGTGAACCCAGACGGGTGGCACTACGAAAGCTATTGGAAAGCTTTGGTGAGGACAGTAGTAATGCAGTATAGAGGCATTTCATCTCAATTGATCAAATTCAAGGAATTATCGTTACGCTTCTGATTCCGACTTCCGGGAAAAAAATTTGCTTGGTGACTTCGAAGAGTTATGGTTTATAAGTTATGTTATGAGTTATGGTTTATATATCTGGCTTCAACGGTTTATAAGATATGCTCCCTGAAATGTAACCCCCTAGAGGAAAAGGGACTATCAAGGTCAAAGCGCTCATTAATGGTCCTAGTCTGGGTAGAAAAGCTTTTTTAGATAATAATTAAGGCTGAGATGATGCAAACTGATGCAAACTGATTTCATCGAAGATTTCAAATCTTTGAAAGCATTTCCTGGAACATTTGTATAAAATGACTTGCACACTTTCCAAAATTGTAAATATTTGGAAAATGTTCATGCAAATTTTGAGCATTGGGATGCGAAGCATCACACACCATTTTTGGAACATTGTATAAGTAAGAAATGGCAATGTTACAGTCTTTTGCAAAATAAGTTCATACCACCTTTAAAATAGAATCCATGCTTTGGAAGTTACGCTATAGAGAGTAACCTCCTCTGCTCCTTGGATGCTCCATTGAGTCATCATGCGCAATTTTAAAAGTGATACGAATTAATTTGCTAAACACTGCCAGCTAAATCTCAACTTGCTTCTTTGAAGTGACGGAAAATGTTCTTCCAGAACGCTAATATCGCCAGTTCTTACCAATTATGACGGTTTGTACATCCAGTTTCGAACAAGATCCAACCCTAGTGCCAAATGAAAGCGCTCTTCAATCTCATTTCCATTTATATATTACTCAAGTTGTTACTTATCGTTTTTGCGTGTTTTTTCACTCTCGTGCTTAAAATTAATTTTTCCGTTGTTTCAAAATAAGAAGCAAATAGGAAATATTGGTTCAAACATTGTCAGTGCAGTTTTGCAATGTCCCAAAATCCCTTTGTATCCCAGTATGCATCCCAATAATCTCAATGCATCCCAATGCCCAATATTTTCTTGCAGGTTTCGTCAATATTTGCGATTTTGGAAATTGCACAAGTAATTCTATCATGAATGTTCGTGAAATGCATTTAATATTAGTAATTAGAGTTTGCATGATCATGCAACTTTAATTGAAGTCTTAAAAAAGATTTTCTAACTTGACGAGGATCAAACATAGCGCTTTCTCTCCGAGTGTACCTTTCCGTCTCGGGAGTCAATTTTTGGGCCTACAGATCTCGTCAACTGCTGAAGCCAGAGCTCCAATACTTTGATTTGTACAAAACTTTTGGAACTCACCAGGCAAATTTTTTTCAAACAGATCGGTATCTAAAATACAAAACTACTTTTGTAGGAATGCCTTTCCATGTGGAGACGGTGGTCTGTGCGATAGTCTGCATTTATGTACCACATATTTGTAAAAGCTTAAAACATTTAGAATTGTAATAGATGAAACATAGGGGATGTCCCGATGTCTCCCTAACTACCGGCATTGAGTACTGAGTTTGAGATAAACATAGGTCATTGGCTCATTGGCTGAATGTAGCTATCAGTACAATCCCAGTAAATTGCCATTTGTTGGGACACAAAATCTTCAGGTGATTCAACAACTTTGAATTTATTGGAGACACTTGAATATTAATAGATGGGAGGTCATGAGCACCCAGACGTTGTATTAATATTTGAGAATATCCTAAATAAATGGTTCAAATTGATAGTGTCAGGATCTAGAAATTACGTTCTGAAAATGCGTAAATCCTGAATGGAGAGAACCACAATATCGTACTTCTTCAAATTATACAATACAAAGGGCTACCTACATCAACTTCATAGCTGCTAAGAAGCAAGTAAAGCTTTAAGAATAAATATGTTTTTAAGCATTCATTGTTTCTATAATCAATATTTTTCACGATTTGACAGTATAAAAGGGTGATGTTTTTTGTCCCCAATTCAATACATTGCTAAGTTTCCATGGGGCTTTGGTTCTTTTGTTTGTGGGAAAAGTTTGGTATGAAATACTGGACTTTTCCAGTCCTGTATTAAGTATTATTCTAGTTCTATGTCTAGTATTATTGCTTGCTAAACCACTGCGCAGGGACAAAACGTTTCCATAGAAATTGGAACAATTGCATTCGTCTTAATCATGAATTACTGAGGAATTTGCAATGGGAGCATATGGTACGCAGATCCTACCAAATTGGTAGGATCTGCGGGGGGGCGGGTTAGGAGGCCAGGTTAGGAGTTGATTTATTTATTCAAAATAGCATCTGCATTAAATTTTATTGGAGCCAGTGAAATAGATACTCAAGTTCTTACCCCAGACGAAAATAAAGGCGAAAGGACGAGGAATGGCGGTAGACGGGGGGGTGGGGGGGTAGGAACTTTGGAACCGCCCCCCCCCTATGAAACATTTCTATATCCGCCACTGCTACCAATGCTGTCTGTTCTTTAGAGAATGTACTTTTCCTTCCCCTTCCTACTAACCAGGAAAAACTTACTTTCATTGAATTGAATAAAAATCCTAAATGTCTTTCACCTTTTCTTCAATACCCTGATACTAGGTTGCGCAATCGCACTTAAGTTTCCTAAAATGCCTACTACTAACGTGATGCTACCTTTCCTATAATTATTCTGTTCCGTTGTGACGCGATTAGTTATATAGTGCTTCCATTTCAGAACAATATCAACTGGACAAGAAAGCGAGAAATTTCATGGAAAATTTTGGTGAGAGAGACAACGTTTCTCCCGTCGGTCTCCATGTCCATGTCCATAGGTATATTCATACGAAAGTCTCTTTCCCTTTGCAGACAAACTTGGTGGGTATGGAACTCGAATGCTTCTGAAAATTTTTGGCAAGGAATACTACGTTGCAAATGTTTGATTCCATTCCCTAACATATTTATTGACTTCAAAATCTCCTTTCATCTTCCAGAAAAACATAATTCAGAAGGGAAACGCAAATTCATTGAAATTCTCAGTGAGGAAGACATCATCTTTTACGTCCATCTCAATATCCCTCTTCCTAGACGATTCTTACTTTTTTTCCCATTTCCAGATGAATTCGAGGGGACCGGATCAAGAATTCCCTTGGCATCCTTTGGTGGGGAAAACGACTTCTTCTGGCTATCACCATGCTCCACCTAGTAATACAAAATAAAAATATCCGTTCATTTCCAGAAACACCTCAGGAAGACTGCCCTAAAATACTGATGAGATGCTTTGGTGAGGAAGAAAATGTATCACTGGTCCATCTGCATGCATAAACTGGTACGTTATTGTAATAATATTCTTTGCTCTCTAGACAAAATGGGGGAATTTGGATCTCGCATGCTCCTGAAGAGTTTTGGTGTGGGACACAACGTCTCTCCAGTCATTCAAAAGAACAATATCTTGGAATAATACAATTACTGTTTTTCTCTTCTAGAAAAAATTGGAGAGTCTGATACTGAAGTAATTCTGAGGTGTTTTGGTGAGGGAGACGACGTCTCCAGAATCCATAACTGTGGTTCACCTTGATGATGGCTAGAATATATTTCTTTCAGATAAACTTGAATCAGAGGAGAAAGAATATATCCTTGAAGACCTTGGCGCCTCACAATATGAAATGAAAGTTTATGAATCACTTCCAGAAGGATCTAAATTCAACACATTAGACCATAGACTTCCTACACCAAGGAAAGGCCGGATCTTGCGCTATTTCGGTAAGGAAGAAATCAATTTGTCAATAATTGCATTTCTGATGTGACATGCCACTCCCCTCTCTGCTTCCAGACAAAAATCTTCGATATGAATCTCGTATTCTCGAGAGATGCTTCAGTGAGGAAGACTATTTATCAGAGACCTTCACAGTGCCATGCACGTTGAGAAATTATAAAATTATTTTGTTACTTCCAGACGAGCTTGGGGAACACAACACTCTGATACTCCTGGAAAGGTTTGGTGAGGAAGACAAGTTTCCTGCCCACCATAATATCTAACCTAATGCTGGAACGTAACATACAGGGTTGTTCAAATGTCACCACCTTGTTTTGATTGCTATAAGTCCTCGAGGGACTGCGGATCAAACTGAAGCTGTGCTTTCACAAAGAGGTTCATAAGTTTGAGTTTTTTTCCTCAAATCGCATGATGGCGGTGCAAATCGATGGAGGGTTTCATAATCGACCAGAGCACCCCTTCTATAGAGTGATTCAAACGTCACTTTAATTTTTTGTTTGCGTGCTGGTATCAATAGATTTGTGAACTTCTGAGCAGTTTAGGCATAAAAGCATGAGCATCTGAGCGTAAAAGATATTAGCTTAGGGCGAAATTTACTTCGGAAGAAACGACAGGAAAAGTGTTACAATTATCATAACGTTTCTCGACTCTTGGGTGATCACACGCTAAATCGACCTCTGTGATTTTGATTTAAAAAATACGTGTGCATGTAGGGGAATTAATTTGATGAAAATGAAAGCCTACGATTTCTTTAATATCCCACCGATCTCTGGACACATGCATTTGAGTGCCACCAATGTTCGTCTCCTGGCGCCTATATGGGCTGGAATAATAGGACTATTTTTGAAGCAAGTCTTCTCCTTAAGAGAAAAGCCTCATTCTGGTGTCATTTAAATGATGAAATTGCCGTATTTCGATTATTTTAAAGCAATATTCTCCGAAATTAAAGCAAGAAGTTCAGTCGCTGATATATATATTATACTTCCCACGACTGGAATTCATGGTTACAACACTTGATTCCCAATGCATATTATGTTCTTTCTAACGAAATCAAAATCGAGATTGACACACAATTACCTGATGAAATAAAACCATTTGACATGAAGAACAGTGCATAGATGGTCTATGAACCATAGGAATGTCTATAGAGGGTCGTTCTCTTTGTAAAATTTGTTGCTGATTTTTTATTTACTGAATGTTAATGTTATTATTATTAATTTGGAAAATTACAAAATGTTGCGCACAGTCACTGGAATGCTTTCAATGCAGCTCTTATGGAGTAATTATTAAATATCACTTAAGTACTTTTAAAAAATGTTCGAATATGCGTATTTTTGCTACTTATATGTAAGTAATTAAAATAAAATGGTCAAAAAGGAAAATAAGCAAAATGTAATTAACAGGGCTCCTTTCCAATGATGCCAGATGGTCCCAAATGGTTAGGGTAAAAGACCCAGTGATGGACCGGTCGCCAGTGATGGGCCACAGCACATAAAAATGACAATAGCTAAGCTTCCATAGCCAGCCTACCCATGTTGTGCCACATGCTGGCAGCATTGAAGCACATAGACACTTCAGAGGTGTTCATGGAACAAATGCCTAGTTTTTTTAAGTTTTCCTGCGAAGTGGCCCATCACTGAGTACCCGCCATTAACCGAGCCCACTGGGTCTTTCACCCAATATACCTTTACCCTATATGAGGCAATTCAGTGTGAATCTCGATCTCGATAATCATGGTATTGTTAGAAACGACATAAAATGCATTTGGAATCAAGTATTGTGACCAGGAATTCCTGTGGTGGAAAATGTAGATATTGGCGACTGATCCTGGTCAAACTGAGCAAAGGAACTTCTTGTTTTAACTTGGTAGAATATTGCCTTAAAATAACGTAAACACGGCAATATCATGATTTAAATGAGAACAAACTAAAACTTTTCTCTTAAGAAGAGTTGTTCCTAAAGTAGTTCCACTATGCCAGTCCATACAAGCGCTAGGGGGCAAAAATGGGTGCCAATTAAATGCATATATCAAGAGATCAGTGGAAGACAAAGAAATTGTGGATACTTTCATCTAATCAATACCTCTACAGGTATAACGTTTTTTATCGAAATGATAGATGGTCGATCTCACGCTCTGGTCGATTTGGCGAGTAGTTATCCCAATAGTCAAGAAACGTTATTCTAAATGCAACGCTTTTTCTGTCGTTTCTTTCGAAGTATCTTTCGCCTCACACTAATATCAAATGAAACTGTTCAGGAGATGCTCACAAATCGATTGAATCAATACATACGGCATACAAAAATTCAAGCGACTTTTGAACCATCCTGTATATGCCATGACATACTTCAGATATGGGTGAACAGGCTTTAAGACCCAGGTGCCTCTGCCATATAGCACCTTCATCCCATTCTCCGTTCTAAAGGTGTGGTCCAACAAATTCGAATAATGACTTTTCATTTCAGTTTTAGTCATGAGATTTAAAGGAATAATCAGATACCACTGATGCTTGAAAAATATGTCCTCAGTTTCAAATCGCATTTGTTCCCCCACCGAGAAGCTGTTGACAGGGCACTGTCGTTGCATATGTACACATAGGCGCCGAACCCAGGAGGGCAAAGGGGCACGTGCCCTCGCAGCTATAGTATTGGGGGGGCAACGCTCCCAAAAGAATGGCAATATTTCAACAGAAGGAAAATTGAAAATAAAATACTACTTCGCGAAATAAATGAAAATATGATTTTCCTTTCTGTTTCCTCTGTTTCACCCCTTGTCACTATGCTACAATAATAATACTGAGCTACCCCAATGAATCTTGGAATAATAGCGTCATTGTTATTTCAGGGGCATTAAGAGCTTGCCCCCCCCTCAAGAATTTTACAAAAGTCAGCGTCTATATCTAGGTATATACGAGATATTGCAGATATGTACGAGGAATATCAGGATTTGCAACAAGTTGTCTATCAACGAAATGAATAATTACAGTCGTTGATATCCATTTCCAATATTGCAAGCAACCTCTGCATAACTCGGGTGAATACTGAATGAATAAAAGTCCCTGGCACGGCAACATTTTCTCGCCTTATCCTCTATTATTTACTTATGCAACAATGACGCCCCTTCCCAGTCGCCATGTTCAATCATCTAGCGGACGAGGGAACAAAGGGGCTTTATTCCAAAGAAATGTCGAAATGAATGAATGAAATCTCGGAATTCCTTAAAACGTAATAGCCAAAGTTGGGCGGTTACTTCTGCCAGTCAATATCTACTTTTTTGCAGGCTCAACTTTTGGCTGCTTTTTCGCTGGTGTCAAACCGGCAAATATGGAAATGTAAAACTTGGCGAATATAGTTTCCGGAATTATGCGTTGAAGAAAAATAATGGGGTTGGGGTGCATAAACCTCGAGTACTTTCCTGGGGAGGGAAAAGTGACAGTATAATTTTTCCATTATGGGAACTGTACTTTCCGTTAAGTTACAATTCGAAAGGGATGGATATTCGTATTCCCCTCAATATATTAATTGCGTATTTTGGGGGAAACCGAATCGCCGTTTGTCAAATGATAATTACAACAAGCTGCCATGAGGTCATACAAGAGCAATCAACTTGACACCACAAATGAATATTCCAGCTAACCAAGGAATTTTCCTCACATTAAGGGTGAGGTTTAAGACTGATGTTCAAAATTAATTGATATTTTTCCCCGATCGTATTGTGTGAAGGCGCGACCTTTGTGCATTTTTTGGCCCAAAAAGGTAATACAATGCAAGTGCACGAGTTAAAATATATGAAATCCTTTCAGTGGAACTTGGAGAGAATGACACTCAAATGCTCCTTAGTTGCTTCGGTAAGGATGGAAATTTTCATTTTGTACCCATTATCGTGCCCTCCTGATTACGAGATTATCACAATCACTTCTCTCGTTGTAGACCAACTTGGGGAATATGGGACTCGAATGCTCCTGGGAAATTATGGTGAGGACATAAGGACCCCACACTCGTCCTCCGTCCATCACTTACAACGACATGGTACGGTTATTTGACATGTATTTCCACTTTCCAGACAAGCTTGGAGAGTACGGGACTAGGATCCTTCTAAGGGTTTTCAGTGAGGACAGTTATGTTTTCTGTATTCATTGCATAATCAATCTTTTCCCGATCGTTTGAAATATTGAATCTTGCAGATGAACGTGTATCAAACGAGATGAATCACCAAATGGAAATTATTGGTGAGAAAATGTTTTCTTATCAATCACCCTCCCACACCACTGACGATATATATTTATTTTCCCGTTCTAGAAAACCTTGACGTGTACGAGACTCAAATGCTTTTGAGAAGCTACGGTGGGAAAGCCTCTTTTCACAGTCCATCCCCATAGTCCACCTCATGTGACACCATATGAATTTCTTCTCCATTTCAGACAAACTTGGGGAATATGTGACTCTAATGATGCTGAGAAATTTTGGTGATGTGCAATGACATCTCTTTATCATTTCGCTCCTGATTTTGTAAAGTAAATACGTATTTTCCGTTTCCAGACAACCTTCGACCCGAAGAGAAACAGGAACTTTTGCAAAGACTTGGTAAGAAAAGGCAAATTAATTTAAGTCCGTCACTCCTCTCGTTACTAAAAAAATATAGGAAATTTCCAAGTCTACATTGTAAAAATTTTCGACTATGAGCATGTAAACCTATATTCCCTCCAATGGATAGAAAAACTTATTTGCATATCCTCCTGAAATCCATCTTGGTTTCATTTCCGAAAAATTCCCTTCTTTTTCACACATTACTTTTAAGGGACCTAAATTCGAATTCCGACTTTAAAGCAAACGATCCTCTTCTTCATTCGTGTCGAAAAGTATGCTTCGGATATCCTCGAAAAATCTTCTTGATCGTTCGGACCTTCCCGTACCGGGCACCTTAGGAAAGCCACCCGACACCATTAATTTACATTCCGAAAGGTAGATGACTCCCAGTAACCTCCGATGTCCTTTAATTAAGACAGCGTCAAGCTTCGAAAAACACAGTTTTCATTTTCAAGAAGAGATGCATATTCATGTGTAATTCCCCAACGGATGTAGGGGAAATCAATAACACCACAGCTTCTTCCCGTCGGGAGAGAAGCTGCTTTGAAACGATCGACGCCCTGTTTCACTGACATGATCTACATTTCCTGGCTGCCGGAGGCCCGCACTTTTTGGACGAGTATAAAAATTTGTAGGACTCTGTCTCTCACCCCTAAAGCCCTCTTTTTCAGAAGAGAGG